ACCTTGCAAATAAATAAATATAATTTTTTATAAAAAAAAAAGATAGAATGTGAAACACAGTGAAAATAGACTAGTTTTGAAAATCATGAATTTTAAGATCATATCTAAAGAGAGAAACAATTTAAGCAAAAAGTTTATTAAATGAACTTGATTTTGAGATATGAGCCTAAAACAAGTTGTACCATTAGAAAAGGGGACCAACAGAAAAGGAGAAGGCAGCAGTGTTAAGACAGAAGAAATCTGTGATGGACGAGGGTCTAAGAAACAGAGCGAGTTTGCTGGCACCGCGGCTCACTAGGCTAATCCTCCGCCTTGTGGCACTGGCACCCCAGGTTCTAGTCCCGGTCGGGGCGCCGGATTCTGTCCCAGTTGCCCCTCTTCCAGGCCAGCTCTCTGCTGTGGCCCGGGAGTGCAGTGGAGGATGGCCCAGGTGCTTGGGCCCTGCACCCCATGGGAGACCAGGATAAGTACCTGGCTCCTGCCATGGGATCAGTGTGGTGCCGCACCAGCCGCGGTGGCCATTGGAGGGTGAATCAATGGCAAAAGGAAAACCTTTCTCTCTGTCTCTCTCTCACTGTCCACTCTGCCTGTCAAAAAAAAAAAAAAAAAAAAAAAAAAAAAGAAAGAAAGAAAGAAAAGAAAAGAAAAGAAGCAGAGTGAGGGATTGTGCACACGTATCCTGGAAAAGTGAGCAGACACAGCCATCGAGAGCGTTTCCTGTGGCTGCTGGAGAACTCTCAACCCTGCAGTGGAAAGGGTGAATCCCCTCACTGAGGGTGTGAAGTCCTGGCAATCTTGCGTGGAGAAAAATTGAGTTCTGCTCTCTAGAATTACATTTTTAAATTTTCCTACAATAAGCTTCACAGATAAAAACCAATGTCGCCTCAATATTCATGTGGAAATAGCAATGATTTTTCCCTAACAGACTCATACATTATAAGGTAAATTACAAACTTATTTACTCTTAAAGCTGCAAAGATCATAGAAACATGAAATTCCATTGTCTCATAGATTTAAAGCTGATGGCACCTCACTAGGTCAAGAATAGAGCTGGAGATATAACCTGAGCTGGTATTCAATCAAATGTCATCTGAAAATTGCTCCCTAGAATTTCGCCTTTCTTGCATGATCCCATATCAGTAGCTGCTCTGAGAATAACCTGTCTTGGTTTCCTAAATGTTTACAGAATTTCCTGACTAACATCTGTACAGACTCACGATTGTGCACTTCATACATCAGTTCATGTTCCCTTGAATATGTGTAGATGATTTAATGCAATGCAGGTTCTCTGAAAAGAGTTATCATTCAGATAGGGAAGAGAATAGAATCCTTTAAGTGAGAGATGGAAAGACCACCAGGTCACTTCATCTATGCCCTCAATAATGCAGGTGTGAGTATTTGACGAGCCTTCTTAAAAGCAAGTCTCATAATGGCATGGTGCAGATTTTCACATGGTATTTGCTCTACAGACTCCTGACCTCTTCATCTACAAAATGTGCCCTGAGAAGACATTTAAATTCCAGTTTCAGTCTTGGTTAAATTTACCTGTTCTCTCAACTAGCGTTTTAGCTTAATCTGCCCAGCCACAGAAGTTCTGTCTCATGCCTATCTCCTCTTGTCTAGTGTTCTCTTCTTTTCCAAATACTGGAAAGTGCCTCTGTGCATTGCAACCTTTTGCCATTTAAGCATCTAGGGAACTCATAACTATAAGGATTCTGAGGATAAGTTTAAAAGAATTAATGAAATAAAGAACACAATCTATAAAGGGTAAATTAATTTTTTCTTTCTATTAAACTTGGAAATCAAGATGTGAAATATACATGAGAAATTATGGCCCAATTTGGGGATTGAAGTAGCAGACAGATTTATTTCTCTCTCTTTCTGTCTCTGCTTTTCTTTTTGTCTGCCTTTCAAATAAAATGAAATAAATTAAATGAGCAAAAATGAATTGTGCCCCAGGTCTTACCATGCCAAAACTGATAAACCCAGAACCTAAAACAAATTCTGAGCTATTATTTTTAGATGAATTGCAGATGTATTGTATCTGTGACAATTGTATCATATCTCCCAGTCCTGCTGTATGTGGTGATTCAGTATTGCACATTTGATTAGCTGGTTTGTGTATCTGTGGTTGAATTTTCTTGTAACTAGAGAGAGGACAGAATGGGAGGAGATATGAAGACAAAGTGATGTGAAGTTTTTTTTATAGCAGTAAAACTCCTTTTTCTCCTTTTGCCTGTTTTGTGACAAAGTAAATTCTGATGAAAGATGGGAACAGTGTGTAGATATTCACAGATAAGAAACAAACCTCCATCTTTGGTGCACAAGGAGATTTAGATTTCATCATTGCTGTGAAACATATGAACAAGTTCCGTGTCTATCCATCAGCTTCCTGGTCAGCATATGCTGAGGCCAAGAAGTTCTCTTTGAGGTTGATCACGCTTGAATGTAGATCCTATTACATTAGGAGCAACTATGCATTTGGGGTTCTTTCTAACCACAGGAATCCCATTGTAAACACATATTGAGGAGATATGACACATCATACAAGAAAGAAAGCATAACAAAAAATCCTCAAAGAACTGTAATCCCAAGCCATACCACAAAGGGCAAGATGGCCCAATCTGGTGGGGGAAGCAAATTAGATTATGCCCTTTTAGTTATTTTCTCTCATATTTTGTTTTGACTTAGTTGAAATTTTAATATGCTTATACTTAAGGGAATATGTAGTTATATACGGATATCATATGAGAATATATTTACAAGTTTAAATGTGAGTGAAATTCAGTCCAGAAACATCTTTCCTGTGGCTGGCATTCTGGTTCAATGAGTTAAGCTACCACCTTGAATGCTGGTATCCCATATGGGTGCTGGTTCAAGTCCTAGCTGCTCTATGCCCATCTCAGCTCCCATGTAATAGCCTGGAAAAGCAGTTGAATGTGGCCCAAGAGCTTAAGCCCCTACCAATGTCTGAGACCTGGAAGAGTTACTAGGCTCCTAGCTTTGGCCTGGCACAGTTTTGGCCATTGTGACCATTTAGGGAGTAAACCATTGGATGGAAGATCTCTCTCTCTCTCTCTCTCTCTCTGAGTCTCTCCTTCTCTCTCTCTCTCTCTCCCTCTCTTTCTCTGTAACTTTGGCTTTCAAATAAATAAACTAAATCTTAAAAAAAAAAGTTTCCTTCTTTTCCACTTCTGCAAGGCCTTGCTTCCTTGACTCTGGGCATCCACATGACTCTCTGGTCGGAGAGAGAATCCACCGTGAGCCCTGAATGGCCCTGCAGGTTCCTGCTGGATATGCCAAGGATGCATGTCTCCAGCAGCACTTCACCAAGGAGATTCAGATTTGCAGAGAGCAAACCTGAAAAAAAAAAAACAAAAAAGATGAGATGTCTCCCTCTGCTCACTTTTGTTATAAAAGAGCAGTTTCCCCAAACTCATTGTAAAGCAAAAAAACCATGTGTTGAAACCACCACTGGGGCCCTCCATGTGACCTGTGGAAAGGAAAGGGAATCTGCAAAACACTGATCCTGTGCCGTGAGTGGTAAAGGGCTCCGTCTGTGACCCAGGAGCCTCCAGTCTTCCAGCATTTATAAAACAGTAAGAGGTAAAGTTGTCCATGTGAAGGATGGCAACATAAAATCAGAGACTGGCAGTTTATAGAATGACCATGGGATCCTGAGGGAGACATGATTTCTGGAGTGAAGGGAGAATGGTTCTATGCTCATGGTTAGGTGCAGAGAGAAGACATCCTGGAATCTAACAGCTAAGGTTTTGTCTGGGCATTGGGAGGAAGGGATCAGGAGGGAGAGTTTCCCATTGTTATTTCAGTTAATGATGTTCAGTGGACAGAGTTACTTGAAACAAATCACCTGAGCATAGACTATGTTACTGTTCACTATCTTCAAAGAGGGTGGTGCAGGGATGCCTTCATACTAACAGTTCAGCAATCTGTAAGAGCTCATCTTAAAGGAAAATGGCTGTGGTTTCAGGGCTAAAGAACTCACAAAGTTGAAATAAGTGGTGTCAGGAATGTGGATTTCTTAAATATATAGCTTTGAGTTAGCCAGAATATTGTTCAGTTGATCCATAGTGGAGGCAGCTTTACCAAAATTAATGAAAAACCTGATGTACTAGCATGGAGAAACTCTATTTAAGCCCCATTGCCTCCCTCTTTCTCCCCCAACTCCTGATGCTGTAAGGAAAATTGATAATGATTATTGGAAGCATGGTCTACTTGTCCCCAAGTGGGATCAAAGATCACATGCTCCCTTCTGGGAAGCTCAGAGAAATTGGGCATCGGTCAAGACACATTCTTTATGACTCCACCGGCTTTAGTGCAGGAAGTAAGCACTGAGCATCTGAAGTGTCTGAACCTGGACACTGACGGAACTCGAGGCAGTAAACAGGGAATGGACCAGTCAAGCCCATCACTGGACTTAAGGACAAGGGAAAGATCCTCTCTCATCCTTGCTGCTCCAACAGGCTCCACTGGCTTCCTCATCACCTGTGTGTCTTCTGTTCCAGCCTGAAGCACAAGGTCACCTCCCAGCAGCTGTGGCTGCATTTGAATGGTGAGCAAATCAGTCTCTGCACCCGTGGGAGAAGGAACACCCCAAATCATTTGACAGTATTTGGATAAGGTTTATTGTAGGGAGAGGAAGATAAGAAGTCCTTGTGATGTCCTTCCCAATGAAACAACCCCAACATCACCTTGAAAAGCCAGGCAACATCAAATTTAGGACATTCTGAAAAATAGCCAATTAACACTCAAAAATTGTAAGCTATATGAAGGCAGGCAAGATCGGGTAGGACTCTCTGATGTGGGGAGACTAAGGATATGCACAATGAAAGCATAATGTGGGTTTGGGGACTGTATTACAGGGAATGTGGTGGGGGGAAACTAGTGACCTGGGAATACGTGCTTTGCTTTAGTGACTGTGTAGTATCAGGATTACTCCCTCCCTGCTGAAGCAGCAGTTCAGTGACTCACACTGTCAACACAAAAGGAACTTCTGTGAAGGGCAGTTGGAGGCTCCTTTTTAATCACTTCTATCGGCTTATTTTATTGGGGTGGGTAACATGGTGCAGTGTGTTAAGCCACTTTTTGTGATACCCACATCCCTCATCTGAGTACCCCTTGGAGTGCCAGTTCTGATCCAATTTCCTGCTAATACATCCTGGGAGGCAACAGGTAATTATCAAAATGCTTGTTTCTCTGCCATCCATGTGGGAGACCTGGATGGAGTTGTGGGATCTTGGCTTCTGTCTGGACCAATTTGAGCTGTTCAGGATATGTCCTCTCTCCTCTCCCCTCCCCTCCCCTCCCCTCTCCTCCCTTCCTCTCCTCTCCTTTCTCTTTCTCTCCCTCTACCACTCTGCTTTCAAGTGTATGAAAATGTATGTGTGTATTATGCATGTATATAGATATTGTGGGTTTATACATACAATATACATGATGGGATACTACAGAGCCATAAAAAAAAAGAATGAAATCCTTTTGTAAGAAATTGGATACAAGTGGAGACCATTATACTGAATGAAATAAACCAGTCTCCAAAAGACAAATATCATATCACTTGTTGTCCCTGCTCTGTGGTAACTAATATACAAATTATAAAAATGTAATGTATGTGAGCGAAATCGACATTTTGAGATTTGATTATTGTTTACAGCCCTTGTTTTTATGTTTGAGGAACAATGGTTTTTCTACTTACTACTTGTTGAATTCTGTATTTATTTGGTGGCTAAGCTTGTGATTGATTATAAAGAGAATTTAAAAGTATGTCATTGTAAAAATTAAAAGAAAAATGATAGGAAGGAGCGAAGGTGTGAGTGAGGGAGGGTAAGGTGTTATGCTTTTTTTTTTTTTTTCTTGACAGGCAGAGTTAGTGAGAGAGAGAGAGAGAGAGAGAGACAGAGAGAAAGGTCTACCTTTTCCGTTGGTTCACCCCCCAAATGGCCTCCACGGCTGGCACACTGCGCCGATCCGAAGCCAGGAGCCAGGTGCTTCCTTCCTTCTGTTCACCCATGTGGGTGAGGGCCCAAGCACTTGGGCCATCCTCCACTGCCTTCCCGGGCCACAGCAGCGAGCTGGACTGGAAGAGGAGCAACTGGGACAGAATCTAGCACCCTAAGTGGGACTAGAACCCAGGGTGCTGGCGCCGCAGGCAGAGGATTAGCCAAGTGAGCCGTGGCACTGGCAGGGTGCTATGCTCTTAAACTGAATATTTGAAATACACAAAGTTTGTTCCCTTAAATAAATAAAAATGAAAAAGAAAATAGGTATATAAGTAAACATTTTCAAAAGATTATTTCAAAATAATAATGAAATAGTATATACTGAGAAAATGAGAATTTAAACCACTGAAAATGAAATTATGATAAACTTATAAATATAAAAATGCCATTTAAAATTCTATGGCTAAGTTAAACAACACATTAGGTTCTAGTACCCTGGAAGTTAAAGCGATAGATAACATTTCTGTCTTATATGGGTTAGTACTTTAAAAGATGCATGAAAAATGGAATTAAAAGTTTATTTTCAAGCAAAATTTTAAAAATCCATTCATGTGAGGAGTCTTGAGAATCAAGTTCACTGAAGGAATATTATGAAAAAAAAAAAAACTGTGTATAGAGTTCAGAGAACCCTTGCTCCAAAATAAACCTGTCTTTTATTTCCATATGCCACAAGTTTTTCAAGTACCCTTGTATACATGTGTTTGTCTTGATTTATTATAAATTATCATGTTTAGTGTACAATATACTCGAGTGTATCTTTATTCTAGTTATCAAAATTTATTTTCCAATATAAATCCATAATCAAGAGTCATGCAGAAAAGTAATTAGGCAATGCGCCTTTAAATGCCATATGTATTGAATTATAGAAAAATATGTAAAGACCACAATAATTGAATTTGAATGAGAAAGATCAGGATTACTGTATGCTTTCTAATCCTCAGCACTATGGAGTTTTCATACGTGCCTATCTCAGCCCTAAATAGATGAGCTCTGTAACCCTATGTACATCCTGTGGCTCCTTTATGATTTTGTGTGACTCAAGATAAAACAGTCTCTACTCCTGAGGGATGGGGAGGCATGTATGCAGACACACGGAGCACAGCTGAGCCCAGCCCACCTAATGACATTCAATAGTTCCCATGTGCTCTCAAGAACAGGCTTCCGGAAAATTCTCATAGAAATCCACCCTAAAAGCTTAATTTGGCACTTCACAAAAATGAAAACTCCTTTAAACAATTTTCTCCTGCCTTTTCACACAAGTTTCAAGTGAAATACCATACTTATGCACAAAGGAATGTGATTTTCTTTGCATCCAGGATAATAAGGTATTCAATAAGTTATAAATTAAAAATAATAACATATTCAATGATTTATAGTTAAAATTAGATATATATGTAATTAGGCAATATATTCCTACTGACTGTGAGAGAGGATAAAAGTTATCCTTTCTTTTTCTTTTTGATTTCTCTATCTGATTTTGACCTCTTTATCAAAGTAGATATTTGGGTATTTCAGACAAGTTCCATCTCCATTAAAATTCTAGGTCTACATGAACATTGAAAATAAAGATACTATTTTTCAAATTCCAAAACATTCAAGTTAATAGAAATTAAATACAGAGAAAGGATGTTCTTATTTGTGTTATTTTTAATCATATGTTGCATATGATTAAAAAATAAAGAGAAAATTCATGCAAGAAAAATTATGAAAGTAAATAGGAGCCAAGGTAAAATTATACATAAAGGGCTGTGTGTAGGCTTGCTAAGTGTAGGCTGAAAACTTGGCTCATGTTTCCTAGAGATCAAAGCCAAAAGAAAAACATAAATACACGACTCATAGTATCCAATAGGGAAAACAAACAGGTTGCTCTGGTGAGAAAAAAAAAAAAAAAAACTACTACTGATATATAATCTTTTTCATTCAAGAAATTTTCTGTATGGTCTTTCTCAAGAAAGAAACAAAGATGTAACAGATGTGCAGAACTCCCTCTCCCTCCCTCTCTCTCTCTTTCTCTCTGGGCTTTTATGTGTGTGTGTGTCTTTCTCTCTCCCTCCCTTCGTCTCTCCTTCTATATCTCTCACTCTTTAGTAACAAATGTCCAAAGAAAGTCTGTGGTAAAATGTGATATGAATGGGAAAGTAAAATGACATGACAGCTGTGGAAATGTGATGAGAATTGTTAAAAAAAAAAAAATAGAATTACCACAAAAGCCAGGGATTCCACTTATAGGGACACTTGAAAAATAAGTGAAGCCAGAGATTCACTTACATGCATGTATACCCATTTCACTGCAGTATTTTTCACAACAGACCAAAAGTAGAAGTTACCAAATGTTCATTAGGAGAGGAGCAGATAAACAAAATGTGCTATACATATTAAGGGAATATTATTCAACCTTCAAAAATGAAAGATAATGTGAACACATAGTGCAAGACTAGTAAAAATTAAAAACATTTTGCTAAGCAGGTCAGTCTCAAAGGGAAAACTATTATAAGAGCACCTAAAAGACTCAGATTCATAGATGCTGAAAGTACATTGGTAGCCGTCACATGCTGGGGAAGGGAGGAATGGAGAGTACATTTTTCTATATAAGATTTATTTATTTGAAAGGCAGAGTTATGGAGAGGTAGAAAGAGAGAGAGAGAGAGAGAGAGAGAGAGAGAGAGAGTCTTCCATCTGCTGGTTCATTACCCAGATTGCCACAATGGCCGGAGCTGCGCCAATCTGAAGCCAGGAGCCAGGAGCCTCCTAAGGGTCTCCCATGCGGGTGCAGAGTCCCTAGAACTTGGGCCATCCTCTACTACATTCCCAGGCCATAGTAGAGAGCTGGATCAGAAGTGGAGCAGCCAGGATGCAAACTGGCGCCCATATGGGAAACTATCACTGCAGGCGGCAGCTTTTCCCACTATGCCACTATGCCTGAGACTAAATTTTTAACAGGTATCGAATTTCAGTTGAGTATGATGAAAAATTATTGGAAATGAATAGTGGTGACACTTACAGAAGAATATGAATGTACTTAATGCTATAGCATTGTATGACTAAAACGATTAACATGGTAAATTTTCTTGTGTATATTTTACCACACAAGAAGGAAAAACACAACATCAGTTTGGTTACTTTTTTCCTTATAACATTCTTAGGTTTAAAGTAATTTATAATGCTAAAAAATGCCGTTCCCTAAAAACATTTCTATAAAGGCTATGTTGTTACAATCTAGTTCTGTTGCTGTAAGATGATCTGACAACAAAATGATACAATATAAATATGGTAGAGTCGTGGTTTTCCTTGTTATATATTGTGTGTTTTCCCACTGTTACATGGGATAGTGCAATATAGATATGATAGAGAATGTTTCTCAGAGTTCTGCCACATGCCCCTTCTTAACCAACCTTACAAAAGTATCTCACAAGGATCCTAGGGCTCCAAGAAATAACAGCTTGGAAACTATTACTCTAGAAAGATTGAAAGAACATTTTATTTTTCTGAATATCTTATTTACATTATCTTGAGGAATTTAGCACCAAGTATATCAATACATGTAACTATTAGGGTGTGTTTATGGTTTGTGATTTAGCAGAAATAGCACTCCTGGAGCATGATTAACCAAGGGTCATCTAAAACTGACTTTGGTGCTGTGAGGATGAGATTTCTAGCTCAAGTGCAGAATCCAAAGTAAGGGCTTCCTCTAGACAAAAAGGCTATGCAAGGTGCTGGCTTACAGTAACTTCTTGGTTGAGCCCAAACATTAGAACATTTGATTACCTGAAATATATGCCAATAACTTAAAAATCAGTAGCAACACTTATTGAGCAAGAATCTAAAAGACAGACTATCCTACAAGAAACAAAAAAGCCAATGAACATTTTACTATGTAAGTTCTTCTGTTCCCCAAATGAAGGAAAACCAAGCACATATTCACAGGGACTGATCTGCAACCTTAGAGACTTCCACATGTTTGTTTATGTTCTTCTACATCTTATGAGTTTTGAGAGTTGTAAAAATGTTGGGTTAAAACCCCCTGTGAAATAGCACACACTTTGTGCCATCAGCAACAATAGATCTAAGGTTCTGTGGTTTGCAAAATGTTTCACGTGACCCCTGTTCCTTGGGCCACTGTTCCATCTGTGTATGATTGGACCTGCGTTTCCTGACACATAGCAAGATTCTAGT